CGACTACGAAAGCCAACAAGAGATGTAAAGCCAACGTTGATCAAGCCAAGTTCCAAGAAAAAAGAAGGCAAGAAAGGCAAAGTCAAAGGAAAAGTTTTTTTTTATAGCTTTACTTATAATGACGTTATTACATAGTCGTTATTATATTTTTGTTTAAACTTGCTTTAACATTTTTTTTTTTTTTTAGATTTTGAAGATCTTGTGTCAGATTAGAACTTACGCACGTCAGATGGCCAATTGACAGGTGACGTGCGTCATATGGAAATCGACATCTGACGTGCGTCGGATCTAATCCGACGCAAGGATGCATCTGATGCACAACATATACATACATAGCATTACATAACACGTGATAATATTTTGTAACTACACCGAGAACATCTCCCTAAAAAACCATAACAAAAGGCCCTAAAAATTTCATTATAAAATAGGTCAAATATTCAGCATCAGCCAAATTCAGGATCGATCAGGTGTATGAAATTTTCTAATTAAAAATTAATTGTTAAATTTTGGATATATTACGCCTTTTTTTACTTTTTTTAACTTTATAAAACAAACAGTATTATAAATTTTTTTTGATCGGAATCTGATTGGTGCTACGCAGAATTTTTTGGATATAAATTGTCAGATCAGATCAGATTAGACTAATGATGTTAGATCTTTAGCCTTTTGCACAACTCTCAAGAAATAAAGGCATTTGCAAAGCTCTTCAAACCGATGCTTCGTTAAAGTCATTGAACATTTCACACAACAAATTGACTCCAAAGAAGTAGAGTCATAGGCTTACTTCCAATGGATTATATCGTTGAATACTTAGATCTAGATGAACTTTCAAAGTTTCTTGTTATAGCTACATAACAACTGCAAGAGGTAATAATAATACAATACAATATAGGTTAAAGAGTAACTAATAATATATATACTGTATTTAAATAATAGACAAGAAGAACACCAAGCTCAAAGAATACTTAATGTTCTTTTCCCAAATACTTCAAGACGATCATGGTTGTCAACCAAAATATCCGAACTCACGCAAGAATTTTCAAAATTTCAGTTGTCATGTACTACCGTATTTGCGCGTAATAACGCACATGGTACCGCACGAGCTGTTTTGCTAGGCAGTAAAGGGATTGAGAATCCTAACAACCCTAAGAATGATACTGAAACATATTGGATAAAACTATCTGATGAAATCGGTAATTTCAACTGTACTGAGTTTGCTAAATTCTCCGACATGTTTTTAGCTAAAAAATCATAGGGGACACCCCCTCTAGTTATTTCGAAACTCTCATTTTTTTAAATTTTGATTTTTTGACTCAAAATAACGCCCGTGCGCGTCTCAAAATAACACGCCCCTTAAATATACTGCATTACATATTTGACCGAATTTTTCGGCATAAGTTCATTAATAAATTAGGGCTCCTCTTGTAACCCAAATTTGTCAAAATGATTTGAATTAACACGCATGCGCGTCCTGACGCAAATACGGTATGTCTAATGAAAGTTGGTAAACATTCGATCTCAAATGACTATGGAAGTTTTTTTTTCCTAAAATTTTAAACTTAACGCTATTGTAAACAATGTAAACGAATTACACAGAAATAAAACAAATAAAATCAAGTTTCTTATATAAGTCTATAGTAGTCTCGAGTTTGCGAAACAAAGTTTTTACTATTATCATTATAAACCCTTTTAAATAAATGACAAAATAAATCTTTATAGATCTAGTTTATTATATAAAAATTTTCTCGATTACAAGAAAACAGACACAGTTATTTTGGACGTTCTCAAGCGCCTCAATTAATGGGTCAAAATATGTCGAAAATGTGTCGGGAGTTAAATTTTAATCGATCAATCGAGCTTGTCATTAAGATAAGTATGAGAGTTATTTCGTGAAAGAAAAATTTTAAATGGTAAAAAATGACAGTGAGTTTACCATTTCAGTCAAAAACTTTTTTCCAGAACCATTTTTTTCTGCGCTGACTTTATAAATATTAAAGTTAATAAAGTATTGCTCAAGTGTTTTCATACTTTTTGAATCATATGAGATCCTTATTTTGATCTATTTGCAATTAAGCATCACTACAATTATTAGAAAATCACAGTAATAGTAATATCATTATTCGTATTATTGACTTTTATCCAAAATGTTATGAAATAGCTAAAAAATTATGTCATAATACTTGTATATTATTTTGATTACTATGAATTCGCATCTAGGTTGATGCTTTATAACACCCATTATTTGTTTATTTTTTTAAATCCTCTCTCCAGTAAATTTGGTTTCTGCTCCATATATACTTCTTGGAAACTCAGAAGGCTCTATTTTGAAAAAGAAAAAATGGGTCAAAAAGGTAGCAAGGTAAGTAATGTATTAAGTGTTACTAATGTAAATATTCAAATAAGAGACGTCCATCTAGAGAAGGGTTAAACGGGCTGTATAATGGAAGAATATGAAGATAAAGAACTTAAGAATTCATCATAAGAATAAGTTTAATTCGTGATCCGCCAGTAAACCAGTGAAAACATATAGTAAAAAGTGGAGAAATTTACTATTGTCTTTGGAATCTGGAGTTTCCCAAAGAAAACGTTTTTTCCTTACTAAGTAAACCTCTTTTCGATGCCTAAGTAAAGTTGTAGAGGAGTGTCTT